AGCAATATATTTCTGAACATTGTAATATTCTTTAATCAAATTTACAAGAGCCATAACATCAAGTGAGCTGTGCAAACATACAGGGATCAGTGGTTAAAATGCATTAGTGGTTAAAAAAACCCAAAAACAATAATACGATTAATTACAAACCTATACCCTGTTTTATAGTAACACTCGATTTGTCTTTAAGAAGTCAAATATATATTGATAAAGTTTGTGGCACTGGGTGCATTTCATATGCTTGTCCTGTTGCCTAGGCTATGAACCAAATGGGTTGCTATGTTTCTCGATAGAACAAGAAGAAGAAGAAAATGCACGTCGGAAACTCGAGAAGCTAAATATACCCAGTTCCCTTCTTCATATTCTTATCAACAATTTCATATCTATACAAACATAAGAAATAGTATTGGAATATCGCAGCGATTTTAATTTAATATCTAACGGTAATTTTCTGTATGAGTAGTCACACCATTAATGTCATTTACTGCGTTCTACTTCTTATCATCTACTTCAAGTTATAAATCTTAACGAAGTATAGTAAACATGCGGAGAGAACTTGAAGAATCAGTCTGCCGGTCAGTCAATTCGTTTCTCAAAAAGACCATGCATTGACATTAATGTCAGGCCGAGGGCCCGAGGCCCCTAAACTTTGAGTAGGGCCCCTTTATCTTCTGTCCTTGGTGGCCCGCTGGGCCTCAGTTTTTGTTTGTTTGTTTTTCTTTCTATCTCGTGACAGATGGCATTAGCGATTTCTGGCATAGAGATAATGCCTTGAGACAAAGTAAATATGAAATAGTACAAACTGTTACATGTTTACCAGTTAAAGATTACTAAAAAAAAGTTCGGAATCCATTACAAAGCATTGAGATTTCAAACATTTCTGCAGGAACATGCCCTGAAACCATATTAGCTGTAATTTTACATTTTCGGTGTTCACACTTCTGCTTCCGGTTGCAATGAATAGAAAAATTGAAAATCAAAATTGATTATTTTTCGTTAACTGACGCCAAAGGTACGAAGGTGACAGCAGGAAACCTGTCTCGTGATCACGAGATGCTATAATTAGCCTAGGATGAATGAGGTTAAGTGATAAGTAGTAGGTTATGAACAACAAGACTGTAGTCTCCCCATCTCTGATCCGTCTCTGAAGTAAATAGAAATCACAGGGGCAAATATCTGTCTAAATTATTCGTCCGGCCACAGGATAAGATTAGTCCGTGGTCCAGAATCTAAGAGGTAGCCATTTCACTCGGCCACAAGTTATTATCATTTTGGCGTCTCCGTCAGCATGTAATGACAGAAATGTACGATGGCAAGTACTTCAAGGTGAAAAAAGCTTGCACACAAGAAATGATGAGGGACCGATGATTGTTCCGTCATTTTCATGTGTGAAGTTTAACAAAAGTTGTACAAGAAGTGTAGGCCCTTCCTGCTACCCAGGTACGCGTGGTACCAGATCACCGTAATCCTACTTGTCCAAACATAAACTCCCCTTTACAGTACAGACTGAAATCGCTGGTGACGGGTGACACTTAAGTAGACTGTAATTGCTGGTATAAGTTGTATTGCTGACGGGTGTAAATTATATTGCTGACGGGTGTAAATTTTATTGCTTACGGATGTATGTTGTGTATAATTCAATCACTTTTGACAGGTATTCATAGTATTTACCCTAAGTAGTGACTGTAAATAAATAGCGTATATTTAATAATTAATGATGGTGTGATTGATATGCTATTGTAGGTTTAATCTCAACGTTTTGAAAATCCCTCATTCAATCTTTCTGTCACTCAAAATTTACAGCGTTACGCATTAAAAATAATAACCTATGCCAGCTAAGTAAAATATGTGGCCGGATTCCTAACTTTCCGTTCGTTTGAACAAATCTTACAATTGCTCTCGCTTAAGATATATATCTATTTTATTCTATTTAGGTTAGGCGTTATCATCGCCACCCACTGATCGACCCACACACATAGCTGATTCGTGTTACAACGGGAATAAGGAAATAAACCTGTAATAGCTCCCGATAAACGCAAATTAAATATTGTGATACACCTGATCAGAGACGTTTAATCTGTAACATATACGTTTCTGGCCTGTATTATATGTATCGATATCCGTGTGTAGCAGGGCCAATAACTCAAAACTCGTCATGTATATTGGTATGTAAAACCTGTATAAAACACATAGGAATTTTATATGAAATATGTAATTATGCATATTCATGGTGATACAGAGTCGCGTACATAGAATATTTTAAATTCTTTTATGTGTTGGTATCAGTATCCCTGGAATGTGTCCATGCCCCCTATATATATAGTCAATCCACCTACACACAAACTAACATGCATGTCACAGAGTTCCAGATACATATGGATGAATAATTAATTTCCAGCTGTTGTATATATTACATACATAAAGCCCTCATGTGGTTGCGTTGTCACGTGATTTGGGAAAATGCCTGGAGTGACGTCAAATACACCTGCAGCAAAAGCGGAAAAAAATATGAATGAGAAGAAGGTATGTGAGTCAGTCGTCACGTGACTATACTTACCTGCCATCACACACCTAGTTCCCGACAGGTAAAAGAGGTAGTTACATTACACAGACAGCACCAGACCAGTAAACATGCCGGTAAGTCATTTTCTTTTATACATCTGTACCCCTCTTGTTTATAATTAATATAACCGTATATTTTCCTACCTAGACGGGAAAAAATGATAAAATCGAGGTTTATTTGAAAGATATATGCATCGTTACATGGGAGCGAGCTATGTCGTCACACACAGGTAAATCCTGTAGGGCTAGTGGGCGGGGTCTTTTAGCTATGTGTAACTTTTTTTTATTACCTGTGGAAAGCAAGATGCTATACGACTTCTTGTGCTAAATGTTCATCTGTTTCATGAGTTATGGAGGTGGGAAAATAATTTAACATTTAGTCTTTATGAATGATGTTTCGTAAAATTATAACATCACAGTAAAATTTATAATCGATAAATGCAATGTCTGCAATACATGGCTACATGGAAATGTGTGTAAAATTGAAGGTATCCGCGGTTATATTGCTTATTTCTGTAGCTACATACCGTAAAGTGTATGTCCGTGTGTAGTACACAGCCACGTTTACAATACACACTTATGTGTAGCCGTAAGAAAATATCTATACGGTCCGGAGAGTGACCAGCCCATGATTGATAGCTTGTGTATTCTGACCTGTGGGTATTTACCTGTCTAATCAAATTCCGTGCTGTCAGTAAGTCACCTGAAATCACAGGGGCTTGGTCGCATACCTCGACATTGGTCACATTACGCCTATGTGTCCAGAGTTCAAGATTGGGGAGAGGGAGGAGGGGCGCCAATCACTTTTTTTATTCAAAGTTTCATAAAAATATCGAGACATAGCATCTGTATACCTTTGTATTGTGATACCGGCCGCGCCATCACGTGGTACACCTACAGATAAGAAATGTAATAATACTCTATGTATTATGTTCGCCTCTACACACGTATAATGCTTTTGAGCGTCTCTGGACAAACACGACAAGTAAATAGCGGATCGTGTATCCCCCGACTACACCAACAAAATAACAGTCTTACTTATGTAGCTAAGTATCGTCACGGCCGACTGAGAACGAATAGTACACCTTCTGTTACTAAGTGAACCACTGTCATTGACATACTGAATATATTACTTACTAGTGTACAGGTATACATTGATGCTTGCTGTCTATGTACCGAGTCCAGCGTAGTATGACGGTAATATTAAACATACATTTGACAAACTTATGTAGATGACGTGTTTTATGATTTAGAAACGTTAGTCTATAAAAAATAACAAAGTACAAGGCCCGGATACTGATACACATACATACAAATAATCGACGGTGATATTTTCATTGGCGCTTTTAGCATGTCTTAGATATACTGAATTAAATTAGACACTCTCACTCTTCTAAAATTTCCATTCACTTTCATTTAAAGGCATATTCAATATTCCATTTACAATCGTAAAAAAACACTTCGTCTTGATCTTCACTCGATCCATACCCAGATTCGCACCCGATCCAAGCCGAAATCAAATCAGCCCAATCTCTACCCAGAGTTGTCGTTCCTTTTCAATCACACACACAAAGGGAGTGCAAGGACCGTAACTCTGCGTGGAGATTGACATCAGCCGACATTCGGCGAGTGGGTAAGCCGATTGCAATTGCGGTTTTCATTTATCCGGCAATTTAATCGGAACCGTCGACGCTTTCCGTAAACGAGCAATGAGAGTTCAGACCCTTTTCTAATTCCCGTTTTGTGTGAAGTATTGCTCCTTAACTTCTGAACATAATATGGAAACTTAGAAAAATACATATCAATCTTTCTCTAAGATCAGAGTACAGTGCCGCCGGAATACACGGTTCACCCACTCGTATGCCTTTCGTTACGCACAAGAAAACACAAATCTCGACTGAAAACAAATTGTTACATTTCGCCTGGCAGAAATTATTGAATATCGCAAGACTTGTCTCGCCATAGCTATGGACTTGAAAGCAAGTAGAAGGCCACATTGGATATCATTGCTACCAGGTTTAGGAGCTCTGTTTTCAATGTTTTATTTTACAATTTAACGTGCACAGAGTCTATCAATACGTCAAAACAACAGTAATATCACTAAAACATCTGTTCGAAAAAATGTGTCGACGATGCTGTAGTGCAAGCTGGCGGGGTATTTTTTTGGGATGTTAACTTTCTGAAGCCAAAAAAAAAAAAAGGATGCGTGGCTTTGTATCAGTCGAACGTTTCATGATTGTGAAAACTGAACTTTGACACGTTTATCGATTTAATAGTATTTTTGCGAAAAGTGATCCGATTTGAGTCCTCCCTCCTTTCTGTCATGTAAGTGTTGTCAGGGAATTATGTGGTTTTATGGGTTGATTCTCCCAAAACTGTAGTAAAACGTTGTTGTTGGGTGTTTTTGTGAGGTATCGAGGGACTCTTTCTTTCACTCTGGGTACCGTTATTTTTTTTTTCGCTCAAAGTACCGTAAATATTTCTTTCTTTCACTCAGGGTGTATGTTATTTCTTTACATTAGTGTACCGTTAACAGTTTATTTTCTCTTCCATAGGGAACCGTATTCGCAAATGAAGACTTTGATGCAGACGCAGCTGCCGGGAAGCTTAGGGACGCAATGAAAGGCCTAGGTATTGTATATATACTTAATTTGGGTAGTTCGTAATTTTGAATGTTAACTTTCTTTTTGTTTTACAACAATTATGAAATAAGTTATTGCAAGTTATATGTATCATTCTCGTTGACCCGGATTGATGAACCGGAGTACCCGGAGAAAATCCACTTGGTCGACCTGGGAATCAAACCCCGAATGTCTTGGTGGAAAGCGAGTGCGCTATCCACTGAGCCACCCGACCACCATCGAGTTCATAATTTAATTAATGTTAAGACAAATTGAAACTAGGGGTGATGCCCCGGGTGGGGTTGGGGATCTATGGGCGAATTTTAACATCAAATATCCGTGAGGGCAAAAGCCCCCCACTCCCCCATCTGCAGGTAACGGTCATGCTCTAGTGTCTGCCAATTCTCATCTGCTCCGTGTCTGTGACACATGTCTTTACAGGTACCACAGAGACAGACATTATTGAGGTACTGGACAGCCATAACAACGAACAGCGTCAAGAGATAGCAACAGCTTTCAAACAGTCCTACGGCCTGGTAAGTTTATCAACACCTGAGTCTTCACTCTTTGAAACTCAGTCTCTCTTAGTTTCACTTAGAAACTGTCCCGGAGATGGGATATTTGATTAACTACCGAGGGTAAGTGATGCATATGATCACCGCCCCAACCCCAACCCCAACCCCCTACTGCATCTTAACCCAAGGGGTGACATGTGTACTTTATTGTCTAATCCGAGGGCCATCCTCGATACTCCAGAGGGTATGTTCACTTACGCTCTCTCGGAACATAGGGCGTACGTGAGTATATACTTATGGTCTTATACTATGTTGTAGGATCTGATTGATGAGCTCAAGTCGGAACTGAGGAGTGACTTCGAAAACACCGTGATTGCGCTGATGACACCTCCACGTCTGTACGATGCACGAGAGCTAAACAGGGCTATCAAGGTAAAAACTGATTAAAATTGAGCTCATAGAGGCTATCACGGCAAAGACTGATTGAAATAGATGAAAAAGGAGCTTTCATGTAAATATCGATTGAAGAACAGCCTCGTTCGGTTATCGTGGGTACATTTTCTATACTTAAAAAAGACTTTCATGGTCAGCACTGGTCAAAACAGAGCTCAAAACATGGTAACATGGTAACTGGGTAAAATGGAGGTCAATACAATTATGAGTGTAACATGGCGATGGACATATTTATCAGGGTAACATGAAGCGCAACATACTAACTAGGGTAACATGGAGGTTATCATATCTATCAGGGTAACACGGAGGTTATCATATCTATCAGGGTAACACGGAGGTTATCATATCTATCAGGGTAACATGGAGGTTATCATATCTATCAGGGTAACATGGAGGTTATCATATCTATCAGGGTAACATGGAGGTTATCATATCTATCAGGGTAACATGGAGGTTATCATATCTATCAGGGTAACATGGAGGTTATCATATATATCAGGGTAACATGGAGGTTATCATATCTATCAGGGTAACATGGAAGTTATCATATCTATCAGGGTAACATGGAGGTTATACTATCTATCCGGGTAACATGGAGGTTATCATATCTATCAGGGTAACATAGAGGTTATCATATCTATCAGGGTAACATGGAGGTTATCATATCTATCACGGTAACATGGAGGTTATCATATCTATCAGGATAACATTGCACTGGCCAAATTTACGAGAGTAACATACAGCTCAACATATCTATCGGGGTAACATGGAGGTTATCATATCTATCAGGGTAACATGGAGGTTATCATATCTATCAGGGTAACA